TGGTCACCCTATGGAGATAGAATGGACCCCTCCCAGTTAGCAAGTAGAATGTCTATGCTGAAAGCACTCCACATGCCAGGAGAGAAAATTTATTACTCGAGATTTCTGGGAATGGTAGGGTCAGAACAAGTAGGTCTGGCCTGGCTTGACTGAAACAGAGGAAGCGGGTGTGGGTTATGCCTTTATAATGGCTAGGGCACTAGGATCAAGTTCCCATGTGCAGGCTGAGGATTTGCAAAATTTGAATTTCCTGCTGGGGCCAAGGTAGGGGCACATGTAGACTTCTTATCAGCCTGTCCAGATGTGGGTTCAAAGGGGAAAGGGGAGGTGAGGCTTGAAATAAGTCAACGGTCAAACATAAAAATATTAAAAAATGGAGTGATACTCTTTATTACAATTCCTGATTTTGGAATTAAAAGAAAATTTCTTCATCTTTCTTTCTTTTTTTTATATTGGATAATCTTAATTGATCTATCTTCAAGTGTATTGATTATTTCTTCTGATAGATCAGTTTTGCTATTGAGCCTCTCTATTGAATTTTTCATTTCAGTTTTTGTATCTTTCAACTTGGAATTTCCATTTGGGTTTTTTTTTAATTTCTCTCTATTGATATTCTATATTTGATGAGCCATTTTCATTATACTTTATTTTAAAAATGATTTCTTATAGTTCTTTGAACATATCTGTAATAGGTACTTTGAAGTCTTTGTCAGCTGAGTTCAAAATCTAGGCTCCCCCAGAGAGAGTTTTTATTGAATTCCCCCATGTATGCATCATACTTTTCTGTTTCTTTGTATAGCTTATGAAAACTAGACATTTTTGGTGGTATAGTCTGTATTCCGATTCCCTTCTCCCCGGGGTTGGAGGTCGTTCTCTTTTGGTTAGTGACTTGGCTGGACTAATTAATTCCATGGAGTCTGTTCCTCCTGCATTGTGTGGCTGTTGATGTCTCTCTTCATTCTTCCTTTCTTGTATTTATTTTTCAGCCTGTCAAGTAGTTGCCTCTGGGTTGGCATATCTTAGTTGTCAGCCTATGATTGGTCAGAGGTTGTGTTTAAATTCCTTGAAATAATGAGGGTCCCACCCTTTGTCAATGTTCTTGTGAGGCTTGGGGAATGCATTCAAAGTTCAGGCAGTTTATGTCTGCCCTGGGTTTTACTTTCTCCGTTTGCAAGGCCTCACGTTCCTTCAGGGATGGGTAGCTTGCTGTGGCCCTCTCATTTCTCTTCTTTATATCTGTTGTCTTGTGCATGCACACAGTGTTCTAGACCAGCAGGAAAAAGTACATTCTTATCAAGGCCCACTTTGGCTGTCTAATACCTTGGTTTTCCATGTTAAATTTCTGATTGGTCTGCTGATCTGGTGTTTGCCTTTAGTGGCATTGCAAACTCAGGCTAGCTGTAACTTTGACCTTACCTCATTTTTTGCCTTGGAATCACTCTTGTTTTTGACAATGCCTGTGGGCATGAAGTTCTCCATGTTTTTCTCCAAATAAATTTAGCTCCCTCTGGCAGTGGAGCTGCCAGTCTTCACAGCTTGTCTTGCCCTCATAGAACTTTCATACCAAGGAATCAGGAGTGGGTGTGGGATGATAGGATCCCCAAGCTAAAACACCGTAGTTTTCCACTGTTGTTATCAAGGTTCAATAGATTTTCTTAAACCAGCACTTCTCAGTGTGTCGTAATGTTTTTGGTCAATATCCAGATCTTTAAATGGAGTTTTGTCCAGTTTTATTGTTGTTTTTGTTTTGGGAGATAATATTTGTCAAACTCCTCATTCATCTGTTCTGGACATCCTTTCCGCTCCCTTCTTCCCTCTTTCTCTCTGTCTCTCTCTGTTTCTTTGTCTCTTATTTTTGAACATTTAAATTTTATTCAAACTGAAATTTATTTCAGAATGTGCTATGAAGTAGGGATCTGTTGGCTAGTTTAAAAAATTGTGTTAGTGTCTTAGCACTACTTGTTGACTAATCCATGTGTTTCTTACCGATTTGTAATGTAAATTGTTTATTTTCTAATTTCAGTGAAATTTATTTTAATCCCATCCTCTTTTTTTTCTTTATTACATCAATTATATCCCATTTCACTTGTTTTTTCCACTTCTTGCTTTCCATTGGCTACTTCTTAGCTTCTCAATAGGCTCAACCTTTTCTTTCTTTAGACATGTCTTTTGACTTTACCTTCTTGAGTTTCCTTCACTATTGGGGTTCATAAATTCCATCTACTTTTGATACTCGTAACTGCTGAGGCTAGACTAAGACAAGTGAGATGCCAGAGCCACATACATTCTAGGAGGCTTTCACTCTCGGGTCCTGCCAGTGTGGGATTGGCACTTAGGGGACTTTGCTTTTTCAAATTTGCACCCTACATGCCTAACTTGCCCCATCATAGTCCAGGCCTTGCTACTCATACTTCTTACTAGCATGTACTTGTTGTGACCTGACTTCTGTCCCAAATAGGCTTCATTTATTTAAACTTTTGAGCACCTGCTACATGCTCTGCATTGTGCCAGGTTGGGGGAATATAAAGGGTCTCATGATACCACTTCTCTCACTCAGAGGCTTCCTTCAGATTTGCTCTTTCTCAAGGCTAGTGCCTTTCCCCATTCCTCCTCATTCCAGCCTTTTTGTATATCTTTTGATGTTCTTGACTGTTGCTGCCTGTTCATCCTAACCCCAGCCCAACACTTTGGAATGTATACTATTTCCATGATAGGACACCCTCTCCAGGGACCAGTGGGCAGTTGGGCAGTTTATCAGTGGCCTTATTCTGGAAGTTGTTAAGGATTGGAAGTTCACTTGTACTTTTAGTATGGCAGGGGGTGGAGTGCCCAGGACTTCTCTAGGGTTAATGGGCCTTCACAGCCATGTCGCAGGGAAGGGAAGACTGCTTATTCATTCCTCATCCTAGGCCTTCCTCTGTATCAGCGTACCCTTTCTTGGCAATCTCATTTGTTCTTCAGCACTCTTGAGTTATGCTCTTTATGCAAATAGCTGGCTGATTTCTCTAAGTTATGCTCCAGCTTTCAAGTATTTGGTGAATCGCTTCATGTGAGCTGTGTAATACTCCAAGTAGAATTCATCTTCTTCTCTAATGTAGTGACTTTACCATCTCCCAGTCTCCTAGCTGGAAATCTCACACAATTGCCACCTCCTTGCCCACCTTCCGGTCTGCCTGGTTGCCATGTGGTACCAGCTTGTCCTGTGTAATACCATGATAAGGGCCTCTTCTTTTCATTGTCTGCTTGTACAGCGTGAGTTCAGGCCTCCCTTCGCTTGCACCGTCTGTCCTGGTTCTCTCCTAAGGTGCAGCTGCCGCTAGTCTCGCTCAACTCCAGGCAACTCTCGATCCTGTGCCAGGTTAACTTTTCCTGAAACACAACTCTGATGTATTTGTTGTTCTTTTCTTCTTCTTATTCATGCTTCAGAAACTCCCTAGTGCCTTTGAAAAACTGGGCTGGTTTTCTAGACCTTCCGACTTGTTTTAATTTCCTTGCCACTGCCTCCCTTCGTATAGGCTGGACTGTATCCAAATGTTGTAAGAACTTGCCTGTGTTTTTCTATTTGTATCTCTGTTTTTGTTTCCTTTTGCCAACAGTATGCTTTCCTCACATTCTTAATTCTTCTTTAAAATCTCCCTAAAGTTCTCTCAGATGTCCTGACCTGGAAATACTCTTTCCCTCTCATTATATGTATTATACATTTATCTATACTTTAAAAAGTATAGTGCTTATCACTTCCCAACTTGTAATAGTTGTTATTTTAATATGATTTTAAAAATCTAGTTAACCTTTGTATCCCTCATCGTGCCTAGCATAGTGTGTTGCAGAGGTAATTGTTCAATTAATGAGTGGATGAACGCGTTTCTGGATTAAACCCTCAGACTGTCTGGACTCCTCCGTGTGCCTTTCCCATTCCCTTGCTGTTTATGCAGGGCCATCTCTTTGTCTTCCTTCTCGCCATTGGATTAACTTTATCTGTGAATTTCTTCATATATCACTAAGTGGCCTGTTACCCTTTGTCTCTGTTGCTTATCTTCTCTCCTAAGTTAGTATTAATTTCAATTTAAAGAAAAATTACATCATTTCGGTGAAGGACATGTGTGGGAAATTTAGAGGAAATGGAAGCTAGTGTTCAGGATGACATCTTGATCCATTTTGTGGGAAAGCAGGCTGCCCACCAGGAATTTGGAAATTTTCAAGTACAAACTTGACTCCTGGGCTGGTGGCCAGCAGAGACTAGAAAGGAAAAGTTCTGATGACACGTTCAGTATCCAGGTGGAAGGCCAAGGGCCATCTGCAGGGTCCCACCTTCCAGTCTTCTGATCCAGGCAGCTGCTCTTGTTTTCTTTAGACACAGCTGCCTGAGCTTCTGATCAGACAACTGGGTTGAGGTGATAGCAGGTAAGAGTAAGGGAAGAGACGTCTAATTACAATATTGCCATATTTCGAAAGTGTGTGAACTCTCTGGAGTTTGCTATGTAGTTAGTTGTGGGCATCAAGTTGTGGCAATGAATTAGGTTTTGTTGATGAAGTCTAAGGAATTGACTTGGCTTCATAGAGGTACATCATTTGTCTAAGGTTAAAGTTAGTAAATGTCATATCTCAGGCCCTAATTTAGTATTTATTCCATTACAGCTTTTAGATTCTAGACCTTTATACTATTTTTCAAAAGCACATTTCTTCCTACTTTTGTGCATTTCACAAACTGAATAGAACTGCAGAATTCCTTATTTTCTGCCTCATTGCCCTATTTGTGGAGCTGTTTAGTTGAAGTGGCCCAAAGAGTAGTCTAGTGGTACCTGTGAGGGTGAAGGCCTTGAAAAGAACCTCGGGACAGATGGTGTGCTTGACTAACTGCCCAGGGGAATGCGACACCAGCACCCAGGAGGGGTACCATGTTGCCTTTGCCACTCAAGTATATCCAAGTAGTAATTCCTGAAAGGACAGAGGAGGCCATGGGTTAACTGCTCTCTGAATTACCAATTTCTCTTTGGTTTCAGCTAGTGACAACTGAGCTGCTCAAGACAGGCAGAACTCTGAGCTAAGCAGTGGAGGCTTCCCTGGATCTGGAGAGAAGAGGCGACTTTGGAACCAATAATGAGCCATTCTGACTACAGGCCGAACCTCCGGCCCCTGGGGCCCCCCAGAGGTAGCAAAAGGAAAATGGAGTCTGCCCTGGCAACTGGAGAACTGAGATACAAGTGGAATGGGTGTGGAGGTTGAGGGTGACTTTTAGGACTGAGGGGAACTATAATTCTTTTGGTGACCTGTTAAATATTCTCCTGTGTTATTTATTCTAGAATTAGGTGTGGTGTCTTATTGTTTTAATTTATTTTTATTAAATATATTGAGTACAGCAGTTAATTTTCTCCAGAAAAGTGACAATCTTTTAGTAATTCCTATTTTTAAGAAGTTTATGTCTATAAACAGCAAAGCATACTGAACCCATTATTTAGATTATGTTCCATGCATGTTGTGGTGCTGATTTAAAACTCAAGTCTCATCTGTGTACATTTTATTCATGTTTCCTTGCCCATTCTTTCCTTATTGTGATTGTTTGAAATCATCATCAGGGAGTTTCATCTTCTTATTGGTTTTTCTAAATAATAATAAAAAAGGTATAATACCTTCAGTTTTAAAAACGCAAATGTCTGAGGAAAGAGTTGATTGCTGCCTCATGTTTCTAGGTGTGTCTTCTGTGGTTGGCTCACATGGCATTGGTGCCTCACCAGGTGACAAAAAGTCAAAGAACAAGTCCACGCGAGGGAAGAAAAAGAGCATATTTGAAACCTACATGTCCAAGGAGGATGTTTCAGAAGGCTTGAAGAAAGGAACACTTATCCAGGTGATTAAAATCTACTGGAAGGTTATTCCCTGAATATGTGGAATCCAAAGCAATGTATTCATTAAATGATTTCCTGTTCTGTGCTGTGTCTTGAGAGAATTGAGGACATAACAGGGCAGGGCTGTTATGATTGGCATAACAGAGAAGAGGACACAACAGGTGCTTTTTAGACCTGTAGTACATTTATAGGTGATAAGCACCAAAGATAGGGCCAGGCAGAGTGCTCTGAGATTTGAGAGGAGGGAGCCATTATTTCCAGTTGGGGTTGCCTAGGGATGCTTTCCTGGGAGGGACATATTTGAGCCAGGCCATGGATTGGTACAGTTTGAATAAGTGAAGATAAGAGAGAGAGCTTTACAAGTGGAGGGAGCAGTGTGAGCTATTTAGAAGTGGGAAATAGGGTTTGGATATGTGATATACTGAGCAGTTTGCCTGGAGAACGTGAATGCTGAATGACTGAGAAAAATGGATAAGGTTGGAAAGGAAACCATAAATAGCAGCAGTCAATATTTGTTGAGTGCTTTATCGTTTACAAACTATGTTGTAAGCTAGTTCAGTGGTTTGGCTGAGCACATGTTTGCTGAGCATCCACTGGGAGCCAAGAGCAGTTACGATTGGGAGCACACTGCGGGGGTGCTGTCAAGATGAAGGTAGATGAAACTGCCTTTCTGTACTTTGACCTTGCAGCCCAGTGGGAGGAGGTGGTCATGTGAACAGGTGATTTGGGGATAAAACGGCAAGAACTCAGATAAAAGGGTGACCAGAGTGTATGGTAGAATACTCGGGGCGAAACTGGGAAACTGTGTACTCTAAGCTTCTGGAGAGACTTCCTATAGGAGGTGATACCTGTGATGGGTGACTAGTTTGGGCCTTTTAGATGAGTGATATGTGCGTGGGAAGGAGGCACAGAGAGGCAGTGGCATTAATGGAAACATGAACTTGTAAAACAACATGGAGTAAGGCAGCTGTGATCTCCTAGGGCACGAAATATAAGGCAGGCAGTAGGTAACGAGGCTGGAGAGGGAGGCAGGGCCACATAGTCTTTGAATTAAATCTATTCATAATTCTAGGATTAATGTAGAAATATTGCCATGTGCTATCTGGCTCACTGCAAATGTTGACTGTGTTCCATTTTCTCTCATTCTGACAGCCCAGCTTTTGTGTTTGTGTTTTTGACTGAAGATCCAACCAATTAACAGATACTATCATCTTTTCTTCCTCTTTATTACCTTTCTATTTACCTGTGGTCAAGTGAACATGTGATTGATGAGACTCTTGAATAGGAAACTGGTTTTTAACAAATGAGTTGATCTTTCTGATTCTAGGAATACTATTGCCTTTTTGTTTTTGAGACAGAGTGTGGCTCTGTTGTTCGGGCTAGAGTGCTGTGGTGTCAGCCTAGCTCACAGCAGCCTCAAACTCCTGGGCTCAAGCCATCCTCATGCCTCAGCCTCCCGAGTAGCTGGGACTACAGGCATGCGCCACCATGCCCAGCTAATTTTTTTTTTTTAGTAGAGACGGGGTCTCGCTCTTGCTCAGGCTGGTCTTGAACTCCTGACCTTGAGTGATCCTCCCGCCTCGGCCTCCCAGAGTGCTAGGATGACAGGTGTGAGCCACCGCGCCCAGACTTATTGGCTTTTTTTAAAAAAAGCTTTTCCTAGATTTCTTTGACAAGGCTTCTCTTAGAGTTGAAGCTGCATTTGGGCATTTGTCCATTCATTAATCCATTCATTTGCTCTTCATCATTCACCCCATATACTTAACTCCATTTTCTCTGTACATTTCTTGGCCCTCCCCTTGCTGCATGTGTATAAGGACCTGTTGTGTCTTCCCATTCTCATTTCCTGCTTCTCTCCTCTAGGGATGCTCTCCTCCATTCACCCTGAGCTTTAAGACTTTTCTTGTAAAAACTGTGCTCCTCGATTCCTCTGTGACTTTGTACATGTTGTTCCTGGAGCTTGGAATGCTTTCTTCCACTATCTTGATGTAATCATGCTTGCCCTTTAAATCCCTTCCTAAATGTTACCCCCTTTGAGAAGCGTCACTTTAATTCTCCAAGCAGAGTTGGCTGTTACTGCTTTCCTGAAGTTGACTTTTGGGTTTACCCTTTACGCTAAACCTATTACCATTTTTTGGCTTTTATGTTTCCCCAAATAGACTGTTCACTTCCTTGATGGCAGGGTCATGTATTATTCCACAAGTTAGCACGGTACCTGGCATTTGATTGATGCTTAATAAATTTATATTGAATAAATATTTATTTACTGACTGAATAAAGGATCAGGATACTGTTTTTTGAAAAAGAGTGAGGGGATCCTCAGTTGTTATAACTCTGATTTAAAACTCAAGTCTCATCTGTGTACATTTTATTCATGTTTCCTTGCCCATTCTTTCCTTATTGTGATTGTTTGAAATCATCATCAGGGA